AAATTATGTGTCAAAATGGACAGAATTCAGGTGGTATGATACATTGAATAAAATCTCTCAATCAAGGTAATTCATTTCTGGCAGAAGATAGTTACAAATAATTTTTAAAAATAAAACCTAGTAGGTGCAAGTAAACACTGATGTTGATTTTAGAGCATGATGAAGTTGACAGGTGTTAAGTTATGGTCTATGAATTTGTCACCATCTGTATATAAATAGTATCACCAGATTGCTTAATGTGGAATTCTAACTCTAACTCATTTGACTTTCACAGATGAAAGTAAATAGAATTTTATATTCCTGTATAAATTCATATCTGGCCCAAAAAAAAGGTTTCATTTAAATTGAGTAAGACTTTGTAGCAAAGATGAAATTACGTGTTGTACAGTATATGTTTTTATTTGGCTTTCATTCTTAACGATAAATATCTTTACCAGAAAACTTTTATGTGTCAGAAGGAATTTTTGTACTAATTGTGATACATTATTACACTTCTTTTTTCTTTCTTTTTTTTAAAAGATTTTATTTATTTAAGAGAGAGAGAATGAGATAGAGAGAGCATGAGAGGGGGGAGGGTCAGAGGGAGAAGCAGCCTCCCTGCTGAGCAGGGAGCCCAAAGCGGGACTCGGTCCCGGGACTCCAGGATCATGACCTGAGCTGAGGGCAGTCGCTTAACCAACTGAGCCACCCAGGTGCCCTACACTTACTTTTTCAAGAAAACTTTTGTTAAGTTCATGTGGTGTCAAAATTATTTTGAAATCCAACATGTTCATCCCATTCTCTCCGGGCCTGCAATGTTTCTGCCAAGAAATCCACAAATACCTTTCCAGGGGTTCCCTGGAATGTGAGGGATATTTTTTTCTTTTCCTGTCTTCTTAAAAATTATTGTTATTTTGTATTTCCTACATAGTTTATCAGTGTTATTACAGGAGCACTGGGAGCTGGAAACCTCTCCTGAGACTTTTAGTAACCTCTACTCAAACTCATGACCCCAAGATCAAGAGTTGCATGCTCTTCCAACTGAGCCAGCCAGGCACCCTCTCTTGCTGTTTTAAAAATACTCTATTTCTTTGATTTTAGATAGCTTTATTATAACGTGTCTTAGGAGAAGATCTTTTTAGGTTGATAATTTTGGGGAACCTATAAGCTTCATGAACGTGGATGTCCAAATCTTCCTCCATATTTGGAGATTCTTAGTCATTATTTCTTTAAGTTAGTTTTCTGCCCTCTTTTCCCTCTCTTTTCCTTCTGGGACTCCAGTAATGCGTAGGTTGTTTCTGTTCATGGTATCACACAATTCATGTAAGGTTTCTTCATTCTTTTTCATTCTTTTTTCTTTTTGCTCTTCTGACCAGATAATTTCAAATGACATATCTTTAAGTGCACTGATTCCTTCTTGTGCTTGGTTGAGTTTGCTGTTGGAGCTCTCTGTTGAATTTCTCATTTCAATGTATTCAACTCTAGGATTTCTGCTTGATTTTGAAAGATTTTTATTTATTTATTTAACAGAGATAGCACAAGTAGGCAGAGTGGCAGACAGAGGGAGAGGGAGAAGCAGGCTCTCCGTCGAGCAGGGAGCCCAATGCGGGGCTCGATCCCAGGACCCTGGGATCATGACCTGAGCCGAAGGCAGCCGCTTAACCGACTGAGCCACTCAGGCACCCCTCTGCTTGATTTTTATCATGGTTTCTATTTCTTTGCTAAACTTCTCATTTTGTTCATATGTTATTTTCCTAATTTTGTTTGTCTATCTGTGTTATGTTCATTAAATTTCTTTAAGAAGATTATTCTGAATTCTTTGTCAAATGGTTCATAGATCTCCATTTTTGTAGGGCCTTTTATTGAATCTTTGTTAGTTTCCTCTGGTTGTGTCATGTTTTCTTGATTATTTATGATCCTTGTGGACTTATGTTGGTGTCTGCACATCTAAAAAAGCAGTCTTTACAGAATGGCTTCAACAGGGAAACCCTTCACTAGTCAGCCTGTCCAGAGATTCTGGGTGGGCCAGCTAGTGGTGACCATGAGCAGGCTTGATGCTGGAGTCCTCAGGTGGGCAAATCTGCTGACTGGGTCCACTGGGGTGGGCCTGGTGCTTGAGTCTATGTGGATGGGCCTTGGATCCTGGGTCCTTTGGGATGGATGAGGTACCAGGCACCGCACCATTAGGGTGGTGGACCTAACACCTTAGTCCGTGAGAGCCACCCTGGCTCTGGTGTTGCTGGGAGCTTGTGTCCATGGGACCCAGCCTGGAACCTGAGTCAGCTGGGGGGTTGCCTGGAGCTAGGGTGATCCTGGAGCCTGGGTCCATGGAAGCTGGCCTAGAGGCTGGTGTCACAGTGGCCAGCCTGGTTACATTTCTTAAATCACTCTGGAGACTTTGAATGTTTGAGATGGTCAGATCTAGGAGGAATCTGAGGTCTCACCTGGCCAATCCCTTCATTTTAAAGATAAGGAACTACAGTATAGAAAATAAATATCTAATCCAAGTCACTTGGAAAAATGACAGAAGTGATGTCTCTTGCTCCTCCTATTCCAGTGCTCTTTGATTTATACTACTTTGTCCCAGCAAGGAATATTATCTTAAGAGGTAAGTTTTGTAATTAAGTTATCTCTGAAACTCATGATCTTCAACCCCAATAAATAATCCTTTTGTGGTATAAGTCTTTCAAGTTTCCCTGACCTCTTAACCCATTTGGAATGACACATGTGAGCCTAATCATATTTTCCATTCCCTCCCTACACTTGGCAATTAAACTACTATATTCTTTCTAATTGTTTACATTAGCCTTCCATTGCTCTTGGAATCTTTAGGCTCGTATATATGCTTTTCGAACTTTTGTTGGTTTTGTTTGATGACTAATATTCTGTTACAATTTCTTTTGTTGGCTACATAATTTTATTTACCAGTGTATTGCATGTTTATAAATTGTATGTATCCATAACATTAATTATTAAAGTAACTTGAAAATGGATCTAGCAGGGACCATGGCCATTATGAATCTACACTGTCTAACTAACTGAGATAATCACAATCCATGTTTCCAGTTCCATTATTTGGGACCTTACCTGACCTTCTTTAGATAAGAGAGTCATAAAGTCTGTCCTTTTTCTTTTTTTTTTTAAGATTTTATTTATTTATTTGAGAGAGAGAGAGCACATGAGAGGGGGGAGGGTCAGAGGGAGAAGCAGAGTCCCCGCCAAGCAGGGAGCCCGATGCGGGACTCGATCCCGGGACTCCAGGACCATGACCTGAGCCGAAGGCAGCCGCTTAACCGACTGAGCCACCCAGGCACCCAAGTCTGTCCTTTTTCTTTACCTTTGAGAATTTTGTCCTTCTTTGGTAATATTTTTCAAGAGTTTTCTTTAACTCCCCTTTACTGAAAATGACCAATAATGATATAATTCCTACATGTTTTCAAGGAAGAAGCATGGAGTAATATTTGATAATTATGTGGGAAGAATTTAGTCAAGAGAAGTATAGAATTTGGGAGGCTGGCTTTATCACAGCCTATATGAGATTAAATGTCTTGGACATAATCGTGTGCCTGGGGAAAAGGGAAAGAAACAGTAGTTCTCTTAGTTTCTTTGGAGTTCTCTATGGAAAGCTTATCTTTCCACATTGGCACTACTACCATTTGGTTAGAAAATTGAAAAGCAGAAGAATCATCCATGTTTTCACAGATACTCTCTGTGCAAAATGGCAGGCCATCACTAAGTCTTGTATTTCCAGATCTCAAATGATACAAAATTCATACAAGAGAATTTTCTAAATATAAGGAATCACCATAGGTGATTAATTTTAGAAATCACGGCACTTGGAATTTTCGTGCTGAAGACACTGCTGGTTATAGTTACAGGTTATAGTTACAATAATTGTGGCCCATAAATGAATCCCTGTGGATGCAGGAGTTCTGATCCAATGAAGACGAGACCTTTCAGCAATCACTGTAATACAATCTAGCACAATACAGGGCTATCTACAGTATTGAGAGGAAAGTAAGTTTACCATAGGCCCATGTTATACAGAAATACATGGATTTTGTTAGCGTAAAACATAAATAGGCATAGATGGGAAGAAAATATTCTGTTAGAATCTGTAATTGCTCAAGTCGCAGAATATTTTACTAAGGAGATGAAGAGCTGACCCACCTGGCTAGAGCAGTGGGTTTGTTTAGAAGGCAGTAGAAGACAAGAGTTCGGGCACACTTTAGAGAGCTCGCAGGAGGCATCCTCCAACATGGTATGTACACTGCATTACTGAGAGGGAGCCTTCTGAGACTGATCCCCTAAATGGATGTACAGATGCAGATAGTCTATTCAATTTGAATATGCAAATTAGAGCAGATACTGAGATTTCCGTGAGGGGTGAAGTTCTAACATGTAATGATTAAATTTTTAAAATTTGGTACATCATTTCAGGAGCTTCAGGTCAAGCATTTATTCATGGATGATTGATTGATTGATTGATTTTAGAAGTTTGTGTTACTTAACTACTTATTATGAAAAAATTTTCACGACCATTAGCTCTGGCTTCTGAATTCCTGCTGCTCTCTTGGGATCCAGAAGTAGTCCTACAGTTACCAGACCAGAGTTTAAAGAGGAGGTCGTAACTTCTTTAGTCCTTTTATATGAGAGGTGCATTTACCTTCTGTGTGTTTTATTTTGAGCAAGCCAGGACTTTCTCGATTACAGCTAATCTGTTTTTTCCTTTGGTTGAATCAAGTTTGTGGTCACGTTTTAACCCTCGTACTTTCCTTTAGATCTCTTTTTATTAATACTCGTAATTAGAATTCTGCAAAAATAGTTCATGTGTGTGCTAACAGAGGGAGTCAGATGACAGCACAGTTTAATGAGGACAAAAACCTGTGGTTCTGGGCTTTTTCCGCCCCGTGTGATTAGCTTTATTTGCAAATTTTATGGTTAACAGACATAATTATTTTAAGGTATTCCACCATGATGATACTTTATCCTAACACAGGCATTTTATTTACTTCTTAAAGGACTTTGTTCAGGAGATGCTACACCTTTGATGCGAGAAAATACACTAAGTACATCCACACATGCTGTGAGTGATGAAGAGTCCGCAGAAGTAAACGCTAATGATCAACCCGAAGCCCCAAAGCAAGTTCTTCAGTATCTGTTCTCACTTATACGAGGGGAAGTTGAGCAGTTGGATTCCAGAGCACTCCCCCTCTGCCTTCACCAGGTACTCCAGCAAACCCTTCACGTCCTGCCTCCCTACAGTTCTGGGACCGGGGTGTGGAATCATTGAAAATACAATTCTCTGTAATTGGTTCTCCCCAACCTGCCATTGGGAAGCCCAGGAGGTCACCCTGGGTTAGTGGCTGGTGGGAAGTTTAGCATATGACTACTAGTGGCCACACATCGGCCTTGAATAATCCATTTGTAGTTAAGACAATCACCGACGTCCTTTATGTAGTGAATAAGCTGTGTACGAGTAAGAGTCAATGTAGCAAGCGCTTAGTAAATACCACCGAGATGTCAAAAACTCTGCTAGACACTGCGGAAACAAAAATTACTTAACAGAGTATGTCCTTAAGAGAGCCACTGTGGAAAAGGAGAAGCACTTCTAGAGATAAATAATGGAAGAAGTCTGTACTAAGGGTAGACAGATATTTAAGGTTCAGCAAAAGCACAAAATGTGTGATTAACTTTGTTCTGTGAGCATCAGGGGACTCTTGAGCTGGGTTTTGCGGGGTATGTAGGCGCTCACTAGATGAACAGAGTGAGCTAGTGTGGGAAGAGATTTCAGCCCCCACAAAGGCATGGCTGAGATGGTGTTGGAAGATTAAGATGGAGAAGAGGTAGGAATTGACATTGGGTGGCTGGGGGCAGTGATCACGGCATTCCTCATAGGGACTGGGAATTTTTAATGGTGGGAGTGCCAAATTGAATGTGAATTTTAGAAAATTAACTCTGCTGAAGACCAGGAGGGTAAATTAGGAGATGAGAGCCTGGACACCGGGAGGCCTCTGGACAGTGGTGAGAAAGCTTTTTTACACAAAAGCTAATTCAGAAAAATAAGATATGTATGAACTGCATTTAATTTTTCCTTTAAAATGAAAATAATGAAATAATGGAGAAACTGAGACTCCCTCACCAAGCAAGTTCCTTACAGTTCTGGGGCCAGAATTTGCTTATTCCATTCAGTGCATCTGTTTTTGGAACACTGTGGCAGAAATTTGAATATAGGCTGTATATTAAATAATATTATTGCCCTAATTCCTTGAGACTGGTAATAGAATTATAGGTTTTATAGGACAGTATCCTTGTTCTTGAGAGGTACATGCCCACATATTTGGGAGTGGAGTGACTGTTATTATGATATTTTCACTTATCATTACCTAGGATACTTCAGTAGGAAAAAGTGCAGAGGAGAGGAAAAGACCAAAAGAGAAACCAAATTTGGCAAAATGTCAACAATTGACAGATCTAGGTGAAAGGTAAATGGCTGTTGATTTTACTCTTCTTTGAACTCTTCTGTAGAATTTCGATAAAAAGTTGAGGAAAAGGACACTTGGAGTAAAGATGGAAATAGCAAATATAGTCAAATCTTTTCAAGGAATTTATGTCACTGGGCTGTTGTTGCATGAAAGGTAAGAAGAATGCTCTTTTCTGCTGATGTACAATCCTACAGCCGAAGCAGTTCTAGTAGATCTGGATCAGGCCTGAAGATGATTTAAATTTTTTTAAGTTTATTTATTTATTTATTTTTATTTTTTGTAACCTCTACACCCCACGTGGGGCTTGAACTCACGACCCCGAGATCAAGAGTCGCATGCTGTTCCTTTTTTAATTTTTTTATGTCTCAAAGTAAAATTCTCCCCACCCTCCCCACCCCTCAGGAACATATCAGAGTTGCTGAGTCCTGTAGGTCATGCTTCTTAAATATCTCAGCAATCTGTCCTCCCCTGACGGAGGAGTTTAGAGAGCATGGTGGTGGTTTAAAAGCATGGCTTTGGGATCCACTGCTAACAATCTAAGTGGCTTTCAGTTTGTTCTGTAATGTGGAGGACCAAATGGAATAATGCGTATAAAACACTTAACATAGTGCTTGGTACACAGTAACAGCCAAATAAATAGTAAGCATTATGACTGCACCCTCACTGTCACTAATTCAAGGACTGCAAGTAATTCTCAGGTGTTCTGTCATCAGGATTCTTTAGTCTTCTGTAATCCGAAACAGTCCCTGCCTTTGTTGTTGTTGTTTTTTAACTTATATGGACACTTATGAAGAGCCCAAGAATTCTTGTAGGATGCCCCATAATTAGGATTTGTCTGGTTGTTCCTTCATGATTTGATTCAGTCTAAAACACTTTGGACAAGGATTCTGCTTTGGTAACATTATACCTGATTTTCTCTTGAACCCACTCCAGTCTGGCTTTTGTCCCCACACTCCACCAAAATTACACTCTGAAGGGTCCTAAGTGGCTTCTGTGTCACATGTTCGTGCAAATCCAGTGGTCAGTCTGTGCTCAGTTTTCGTCCTGCTGGGGGTGTGAGAAGCTTTGACAAGTTGAGCACATAGTCCATTTTGAAGCACTTTATTTGCCTTTGGGACCCTCTCTTCTTGGCATTCATGCCTTGCCTCACTAGCCATGCTTTCTCTGGCCCGTTTGCTGAATCCTTCATATTTTACTCATTTTTGTTTAATATTTTAAAAATTTATTTGAGAGAGAGAGAGAGCACGAGCAGGGGGAGCGGCAGAGGGAGAGGGAGAAGCAGGCTCCCTGCTGAGTAGGAGCCCTGTGCGGGACTTGATCCCAGGACCCTGAGATCATACCTGAGCTGAAGGCAGACGCTTAGCTGACTGAACCACCCAGGCGCTCCATAAATTTTACTAATCTTTACACATTGGAGCTCTTCAGTATGCAATTCTGAACTCCAGGCTTCAATATCCAGCTTCCTCAGGTGTCTAAAAAGTACTTCAAACTTAAGATATCCAAAATCAAACTTTGCTTTTTCTCCCAAATCTTCTGCTTCCCTAGTCTTCCCCCTCTTGTTAAATGGCAGCTCCATTGCTGTAGGTGCTGAGACCAAATGCTTTGAAGTCATCTTTTATTTCCTTCCTCCCCACATCCAGTTTCAGTGAGTATGCGCTGCAGATCTACTCCCACACACACCCAGAATCTGACCCCTTTTTACCTCCTTCATGCCTCCACCCCAGTGCAGGACTCAGACCTCACCTGGATTCTTGCAGTGAACTCGTCACTTTAGAAACCCTCCTGACTCTCCCTCTCCCTTTTCGTCTTTGTCTTCTACACAGCAGTCATCATGACCCAGAGAAAATGTAAGTCAGAGCCTGTCAGTCCTCTACTCAGAGCCCTCTGGTGGCTTCTCTTGTCATTCAGGGTTAAAGCTAAAATCCTTACAGGGCCTATGAGACCCTGCACTATCCATGCTGTTACCTCCTAGACCTTAATTCCGAAAACGCTCCCTTTTAGTCACTGCTTCCCAGGTCCACTTGCCTCCTGGCAGTTCCTCAGATATACAAGGATGCTCCTGCTTCAAGACCTTTGCTTCTCCTTTCTACCCTTTCAAAGCCGCTAGAGGCTGCACCAAAACAGAGGGGTAAACCCGGGAGCTGGAGGGTGTGAGATGTCAGAAATTGGGATGCTACCCAGGAGAGGGGTGAAGGGAGATGACAGCTCTGTACAAGGAGAGAGTCTCCAGTTCTGTTTGGAGCAGATCAGAGTAGTCTAGGAGAAACTTCTATATCCTTTTCCTATTTCTGAGTATTTACTGTCTCTGAATGTACTGAGGGAAGATTTATTGGTGGCGAGCTTGGAGTTATATAAGTGACAAGTGCATGGAAAACTATGCCCCCCCCCCAAAAAAAGTGGGGGAAATGGGAAGGAAAAAGTAACTCCAGGGAAAACAAAAGGTTTTCAGGAAAGGAAAATTAATGAGTTTACTATCTGGCTTGGCTTACAGTAAGGCACACATTAAATGTTACCTATCCATTGCTACAATATAACCATATGGGGTAGGTGAGTGTGGGAGAGTGTCTGTGTGCTGTGTGTTTGCAGGGTTGGGGCCGGGGGAGCAAAAATCTCAGTCCTCATCTTCTAAAAAACCTAAAAATCCGGAAATGGCCAAAATAGGCGTAATGTTTAGGGATACAGAGGTTAAAAGAAAAAGAAACCAGAAGATCTCTGAGCGCTTGCTCCCGAAGAACGGAGAAAAGGCCAAGAGGGCAGGGCTTTATGAACACATATCATAGGACTGTTGGACTCCTTAAACCACAGACTTGCACAATTTTAATGAAAATAAGAATGGAAAGGAGATATTAATAATCCAAGCATAAGGTGAGAAAAGCATGCTGGTTACGGCGGTGGTGGGGGCTCCAGAGAGGGATGGACTGCAGTCCCCTCGAAGGAAGAATCCCTAAGACTTGGAGTGGATGCGAAAGTGGAGGAGGAAAGTCTGAGATGGCCAGGAGATCCAGGCTGGGCGAGTGGCATTCCATGAACAGAAATGAGGAATTGGAGAGGGAAAGTCCCTTGGGAACAATTGTTAGTTTTGAGGTGATAGTCCATCAGAACATGTGCTAAAGGCTGTTGGCAACATAACTGCAGTTACATCAGATATGTACTTGTATTTTCAGCTCCTGAAACTCTTCAAGATTCCATTTAAAAATGCTTGTTTTCGGTATGAGTAATCTTTCACACACTTAGTTAATACGACTGCAGGTTAGCTCTAAGTATATAACTGAAGTCATAAACTTGGAAGCTTTTCATATAGAAGTGGGAAGAAAAACATCAAGCATGGTGCTCTGTGCTCAGTGAGTTTGTACTGAAACTGGTGTCAGACTTGGGCAGGAAATGGATCCACTGGGATCCTTGAAGCCCATCTCCGTGACTGTGGTCAAAAAATAATACATACCTTTCTACTTCCCTTTTCTGGTTCCTGGTAGGTAAAAGAAGCCTAGAAGCAGAATAACCCAAAAACTTGAAACCTTAACACTGTTGCCCTCCCAGAGTGATTTTCAACTTACTTCTTCACATGATTCTACTCTGCGTCTTGCCCTTGAAGTTCAGACTCAGACTCAGAAACCATTTTCAGCACTTATTGCTATGTGCTGCCCCCCATGATAGATATGCACTCCCTCACTTAATCCTGACAGCAGCCTAGCAGCCTTGTCTTGCAGAATCCTAGGTATTACTGTCCCTGTTGTACAGATAAGGAAGCTGAGGCTTGAGGTGTAAAATGACATGTCCAAGGTCACATGGCTAGCAGTGGCAAAGTTTGGACCAGAATGCAGTCTGGTTATTCGCTTCCACACCTTGAGTTCTTTGTGCTCTATCAGGCTACTTCCCAGATTTAGACATATGGGACATCAAAGAAAACCCCGTCTGCTCTTGCCAGGGGCGGGTTTCTACAGGGGAGATGGCTTGTGTATTTATTTTCCCCAGCTGCCCTTTCACCTGAAAATGCCACTGGGTCTCGTGACCCTACCTTTATAGTTGCTTTTATGGTATTGGAACCATCACAGAAATCTAAAAGCTAATTGAACTGTGTATTTCTGTAGTGCCAGAAAGTCTGGTTTGTAAGAGTATGAAGCTTTTTATAAATGACTGTGTGCTAATGGTGCACAAATGCAAAAAGGCGTGAGAATGGCTTTGAAGAGCCAGAAATTTAATCTTAGGAGTGATGTATTTTGATCTATATTCAATGTGATGTATAGTAGAGAAATTCGATGCCATGCCACAGATTTCGCTAGAAGTTGATAAATGAAATGCTAGTGATTTCTGTTAGGTGTAACCCCATGGTGTGCTGCTGGAGCTCGCTACCACTAGCCCCTGAGAACCGTATTTAGTGGTGTCCATCATGTCGGTAGCTTGAAGTTGGTTATGATGGAAGCATTGACAACACAGAAATGAGCGAACTCTGCAAGTCAGGCCTCTCCCCAGTACTCGAGAGCCGGGTGTCAGGTGTGGGTTAGCACACTACTGGTCGTAGTATATGGAATTCTTGTTTTGTAAGTAAAACAGTGGTTAAATATTGACAATTTGATTTGGTTCCAGTTAGTATTGTCATACTGTTAGGTGGATGAACTGATAAAAGACAAGCAGAATCTTGAAAATTAGTTTATCCTTTGCAAAGTCCTCAGAATAGAAAGTAAGTGTGGACTCAAGCTTTAGGTTAAACTAAAACTTTATGAAGAGGTGATTGAGTCCAGTTGTATATATTGCTTGTAGAAAAATGTTAGAGTTATAATATAAATTTTAAGCTAGGCAAATTTTTTCCTTTAAAAGCATGCTGGTTCCACTGTGGGATTTGGGAAAAACTGTTTCCTTTTTTTTTTTTTTAATTTAAATTCAATTAATTAACATATACTGTATTATTAGTTTCAGAAGTAGGTTCAGTGAGTCATCGGTTGTATAAAACACCCAGTGCTCATTCCATCTCATACCCTCCTTAATGCCCATCACTCAGTTACCTCATCCCCCCAACCCCCTCCAGCAACCCTCAGTTTGTTTCCTCTGATTAAGAGTCTTTTATGAAAAACCATTCCTTTTTGTTGCTAGATTATAGGTTTGACAAGTACAATATTGCTCTTCGCATCAGCAGCTAGCTGGAAAATGGAGGTAGGGATCTATAGATGGAACACCTTTCTTACTAGAGACTTAGTAAGAATGAAACTTTTAAAAGTGTGAAGTATTTATATGAAATATTCTAAATATGACAACAGTCAGTTTATGCAAGTATTTCTCAGTGAATACTTTCAGTTTTATGGTTGTTCTATTTATAAATGCTATATCCAAATAAAGATATAAGTAAAAGATCCCAAAATGTTCAGAATCAAAGAGTTTTTCAATTTAAATATGCCTTAGAATGAATCCAGTAACTGATAAGCCTCAACTGGGACCAGATCCTAAATCTCTGGACCTCCACCATCCAGTGCCCTTTATCCTGTGCAGCACTTTGTATGTATTCCAAGTATCATTGCTCAACTCTTAGCACTTGGCCCTGCATTCTCTGAAATATCGAAAGAGAACCAAAAGTCAGTGTCCCATGAGGTACTTGGTAAAATGCGAATGAGTCTCATGTGACTTGACACATTTTAACTTTTTGATTTACAACACGAGTCATTCTTTCACCCGTGTTACACTGTTATAAGCCCTCATAGTATTTTCTTCATTCTCTAGAGTTCTTACTTCTAAACTCTAATGAATCAGTGAAGTTGGCTTTGATTTAGAATAGAATAGGGAGAGAGGGGTTGTTAAAAAACCAAAGAATGTCTCTGTTTGCTTTGCTTGCGATCAGTGACTTCAGAAATGTGTCCTGGGCCTACAGTCAGATTTCTTCTCAACTGGTGAGTGTAGTTCAGAGTTTTCTTAGTCTGATATCAAAGACTTAGCGTCGAGGTCTTGATTTGTTCCAAATTTGCCTTTTCATCCAAATGTTAATCTAATTTCCTGGTTTTTGTTTGTTTGTTTGTTTTTAACAGATAGCAGAGTCCTATTTCCAGGAGGAGGACTGTATCCTTTTCTTAATTACAGGAAGAAATTCATAAGTTCTCTACTGCCCGTTTTTTAAAGTTGAGGTTCACATACAATAAAAATATATACATATATATATATATATATCTGTTGTTTTCGATGGGTTTTAACAGCTGTGTGCACCCATGTAACCACCTCAGAAAGCAAGGTGTAGACAGTTTCTGCCACTCCAGAAAATTTTCTAGAACCACCCAAATTTGGCCTTCCATCAAGAAGCCCCAATTTTACCACAATCTAAATATTTGTATGTTTAGGAGGGCAGAAAAAAGCACATTGCTGAAACATATAATTTAAAAATCCATTGGGTTTTCTTTCTTTTGAATTAAAACAGAAGTACAAGTCAAGTGATATTCATATATTAGAGCCTAGGGAGCATATTACACATAGTATATCTCATGACCATCTTATTCTAGCTTTCAGCTGCAAAAGTAAGACTGAATTCTTCACTTGTAATAAACAGAACAAATGCTGTCAAGTGAAACCGCATATTAGCTTTTATACAGGAAACATTTCTTCCCTCAGTTTTCCAATTGCCCTTTGTAAAAATCGCTTCTCTTTTCCAGGGATGACTCCATATAGACTCTTTAGAAAGAATGTGCCCTAACCATCTGTTTCCCCATTTGTGTGATTTCGACTCTGTCCTCACCTTGTTGACTTTGTTCTACATCTCCAAGCAGATTGAGGGAAACACAATTATCCTGAACCCTGTCAAATCGACTGTGGTAACCATCTCAGACAATGGCAGCTCATGACTAAGTACGCAGGAGATCTAATTCTGGTGGAAGGGAAGCTAGAACTCTTTTTCTAACCAAATAATGAGCACAGTGTAGTGTAATACAGACCATCCATATCCCGAGGGGGGGGGCACTTCGTAGTGTGCACACCCATGCCTCAGAATCAGAGTTTCTAGAGATCAGACCCAGGAATGTGCATTTTTAGCAAGCTTTTCAGATCATTTTTATGTTCAGTGAAGTTTGAGAAACTTTGGTATACTTTATGTCATGGGCAGAGGAAAATGGAATTGCCCCCACTTCTCCCTGGCCTAGTTTATGATCCCCGGCATATTTTGAAGACTACAGATGAGAGAGAGAGCTGAGCATCCAAGTGATCATGTCTTCCCCTCTTTCTGGGTCAACATTTAGAACATGGCCCAAAGGAAGGCAGACAGTTGGACAATTGACCATGACCTCACATGATGCTAAATGTGTGATACAGATGGAGAAGGCAGAAGTTTATAGGAAAATCTACAGAAGAGTGGAATCACATAATTATGAAAATCACTCTGGCCAGTTAATTAAGTTTTTACAAAAGATTCATGTAATGTTGTGCTCTGTGCTTGTTTTGGCTTGCAAGCCTTTGGTCTTGTGGGAGAAAAGCATTCAGTGAGAAAAAAAGAAAAGAGTCAACGTGAGTCAAAATCAGGAACACACACTTGAATAGAGGGTAATGTAGTTGCTTGACAGAAAGTGATTTAAGGAGAAGGGAAAAAAATGGAAAACATTTAGATTCCAGGATTCCATGTGGGTCCTGTTTCCAATTAAATTACTTTTAATTGGTTCTGCTAGAGATACACTGGCAAGCAGGCATTTCTTGAGCATTAAAACCCTCTATTTATTTATTTATTTATTTATTTATTTTTAAGATTTTATTCATTTGAGACACAGAGATACAGAGAGAGAGAAAGAGAGGGAAAGCATGAGCAGGAAGAGAGGCAGAGGGAGAGGAAGAAGCAGGCTCCTCGCTGAGCCAGGAGCCCGATGTGGGGCTCGATCCCAGGACCCTGGGATCATGACCTGAGCTGAAGGCAGGTGCTTAACCATCTGAGCCACCCAGGCGCCCCTAAAACCCTCTTTTAGTTTCTGTTTGCTGGTAGAATGGAACCCGAGTAGCTATGGCATCACATGCTCCATTAAAACTCCAAACCAAGAAACCCTAATTTAAAAGTATTTAGAGTCCTTTCATTTTTTTGGTAAGCTGCAAATTTCCCAGTTTCGAGAGGACATTCTTCAAATATGAGGCTAAATGTAAAGAGTATGGATTTCTATTTTCCTCAATTTTTCTATTCAGATGAGAAAGCAATGAAATTCATTCAGCTTGAACGACTGTATCATGAGAAATTGCTTGCAAATCTCTCTGCCATTCAAGAAGAGTGGGGTAAGTACAGACTCACATAAGATGTGCAATTATCAGTAATCTAAAACGTTCCTATCTAGAAATTTAACATATTTGACCTGGTTTTGTAAGTCAGGAAATAGATGTTTCAACAGTTAAGTTAATGTTGCATAGAAAGTAGCAATTTTACCACGAGTCTGTGTCATTGTGAGAAAATTTCTCTCTGTATTTTGCTCTTTGTATCAATGCCAAGAAAAGAACACTGTTTGCATTTCTTCTGATCCTTTGGCATGCCCCACTGGCTAATTTAGTGTCTGGAATAATATTTACTCATATTGAAAAGTAGTCATTTAGCTTTTGCTAACTATGTTAACTTGGGTTGTATAAGATAATTTTGCATGGGGATCTTGATTGGTGGTGCCCGTTAACTACTTTTGCCCCCCTAAATATGTTTTGCAATAGCCAGTAATTAACAAATATTTTAAATTTAGAAACAAAATGGAAAACTGTACAACCACATACAGTTACATCTCTGAGAAATTCAGAAAAAGGATTTAATGGTGAAGATTTTGAACGGCTCACTAAGTTTTGCACAACACACCAAGAGTAAGTACATCAGTATTTGTGTAGAATGAGTTGAAATAGAGTATTGAAGAAGCATTGTAGCACTGAATATTTGAAATTCATGATCCATTTTTTATTTGTTAATGTTTTCAGTTGGAGAAATTAAAACAAAATGATTAGCTTTTATCTGATTAATTTTTATCATAGTTTCTGAGAACTCAGTATAAGTTCAACTTTACGTTCATTCAAAGCACCTTCTAATCAGAAATTTTAAAATATAACTTTTAATTTTGACCTCTCTTTGGTTAAGAGATTAGGTGATGGAAATGGAAAAGAGTTGTGTATTAGGATTTTTTATTGTAGTTGTTTGCCAGTGTTCATATGTTATAGTGAAAACACATCTGTAAGATTTTTCTAACAGTGGGAAGCAGAAACAGTACAATATTTAACCAAAATACTGCAGAAGTAAAGCTACATTTACCAGATAATTTTTTTTTTACATTTACCAGATAATTTTAAATTGCTTGATTTGTATCAAAGATTGGGATTTTTAAAACTAAATCATAGTAATAATAAAGCACTTAAATATATTTTTTGAACTCATTCTAAGATTCAGAATTCTGAAGGTGAGGGAAAATTATAGTGTTTAAACTAGTGATATTTAAACTAGATTTCTGTATCAAATCTTCGATACAGATGCTTCAAGATTCCATCCTGTGGATAACTTTTTCTCCTTTTCCACCAGAATCACAAAGAGCAAACTAAAACTCTACTTGTCAGTAATGAAACAGACCCACGTAGTGGAGAGTTGCTTTAGGGTCTGATTATTTTGGAGACCAGCCTTTGAAGAATCTTTGTAGATTCAGAAATGATGGTCATTCAGCTCTCATGATGACAGTTTTCTGCTTTTGATTTGAACCTTGGAAACAGTGTTTTTAGGGACTCTGCATTATAACCTAATTTCTTAGTATGTTAAATAGATTAACTTTCAACTTCATAGAGTTTTAAAATAATGGAATCTTTTACAATAGATAAAGGAGATTGTGTTCTTTCAAAATACTCAGTATAGACACTTTCTCTGCCTTTCCCATGGAATTAATCATTTTTTAATGTGTTGCAGATATTTTAATTATTTGACAACAAATATTTATTTAATATAATATCAGCAAGGCATTTTTATGCTTCAAATTTGGATAATGCCCCCCAAAATTATTACTCCTAAATTTTTTATTATAAAAAATAATTTTTAATTCTTACAAACATTAAAGCGCAGAAGCTCAGTGAAGGTTTTATATACACATATATGTCTATGTAATTACGACTCTGACCAAGACACAGAACAGTCCAGCCCCTCAGAATGCTCCCTCATGCATGTGCCAAGTCAGCACCTACTCCCCAAAATAACCACTGTCTAAGTTCTATAACAGTATATTTGCCTATTCTGTAATTCTTATAAACCTAATCATACAGAATGGAGATTTCTGTATTAACTGCTTTTGCCCATCATTATGCTGTGTTACATGTTGTTGCATGTAATGGTAATTTGCTCGGGTTTTATTTCTGTGGATTCACTGTAGGACTGTGTAGCAATTTACTTGTCCGTGATATTGTTAACAGACATTCAGATTGTTTCTGGTTTTTGAGTATTATGAATAAAATAGCTATAAATATTTTTGTGCATACCTTTCGTGTGGACATTCTGTTATCTTTGATATTCCCTAAAAAATATAATATTTTAAAATTCTTTTTTGTTACCTGTTTCCATGGATAATGCCAATAAAATTATCTTCCATCATAACCTATTTCAGACTATAAAGATATAAACTGAAATTTTAAAAATATGTGTGTGAAATACTCTTTACATTATTAGCAAAATGTTAACTTTTTTTTTCTGGGTCTCAGCATTTACAGCTTCTTTGGGTGTTTTCAGTAGTAATTGGCTAGCTAAGGAGCTAACACATGAGAGAGCTGCCCTTTGAACTGTGTGAACCAGTGGTAGCACTGGAAATGTTCTGTGCTAATATTAGAATCCAGAGAAGCTATATTTTATTTTTATAGCCATTTCAGTGACATTTGTTTGGAAGAATATAGCTGCTGTAATTTTTTTAAAATCTTTTTTTTTCTCTTTTTTTCTACAGTCCTCTTTTATCCAAACATAAGGTAAGAGACTGTCTCCTTGGAAATATTTTTGGGAAAAAATGTTAAGAGTCATATTTCTGTTGCATGGACTGTTTTAGGAAATAAAGAAACCTTTCTCAAAGTATTTTCAGTTTTCTAATTTAACACAAGTTTCCCCCAAAGTGGTTTTGTTTTGTTTTAACTTTTTAGGTAGCAGCTGTAGAAAAGCCTCTGGGAGGGAAATGCTTTACACAGTTAATAGTTTCTGAGGACCCGAGGGAAGGAGGAGCCACAGCCGAAGAGCCGGGTATGTTTTTACCTTAGAGAAGGACATAAGAGACGCCTGCCTCTTATTAAATTTTACAAGTGTTACAAGAACTATTTGTGCACTTACATTTTTTTGCATATACCTTTCCTACCAGGCAAATTGCAAAGTGAGATTCTTTTTATATTGTGTAACCCTATTTTTAGAAAACTAGTAGTAGGAATTATAACATCTAAATTCTTATAAAAACATAAAGTTATTTCAGTGTTTTCAGTAGATACTTATATCTAACAGAATATGACAAAATTGTACAAAAATGCTCTGAAACAGAGTTGGTTTTGGTGTATGTTCAGATACCCTTTTCTGTTTAAAAACCAACAATTATTGTATGGACTTTCCCAGAAATTTGTGCTGTAAATCTAGATATATAAGAGCTCTGTTTCTTGGTAATTTATCTATGGCAATTTATTCTCCTCCCCTTTTTTGTTAACTGACGTATGGTGTACGTATGGTGTACTTTAATTTGCATGTATACATTTCTAAAGCATTTATGATACATTTTATACCACTTCTGTGTCTTATGCCAGAAGGTCAAAGATTTTTAGAAACTCTTTTTTACAGTACTAATGTATGTTCGTTATAAAAACTTTAGAAAATAAAGTTAAATAAATACATTTCAGGGTGTTTGTTTTTCCTGATGTATGATTTTAGTACTGATTTATGTTCTAAGGCTTCATATCCCTGGGCCTGAGAGCCCTGATAGTAAACATGCACCATCAGGTGTTTTGCCTGAATTGCCTGAAGAGATACAGTGATGGTGATGACGATCAATTTAATCTGCCTTTTTCTTTTTACAAAGCACCCTCCCCCCCACCCCACTACATCTTTAGCCCCTTTTCTTCTATGAGGCGAATTTGGGATTTTGCCTTAAGTCACTCCTACTATACTCTGTTCTTCCTGTCTCTTCTTCTCCTTTTCTTTCTTTTTTTTTTTTTAAGAAATTGGATTTTTCTCCAAATAAAATTTTATTCTATATTTTGCATTTTGAAATGCAAACTTCTTTTCCTACCTTTTACCCCAATCTTAAAAAAAAAAAATGTCCTACAAGTAAGTTTCTGATTTTTTTTATTTTTTTTTTTAGTATAGTTGATAGACAATGTTATATTAGTTTCAGTGCACAACATAGCGATTGGACATGTGTGTACATTATGCTGGGCTCCCCACAGGTGTAGCTCGTCATGCAATGCTATTACGGTATCACTGCCTGTATATTCCCTGTGCTGTACTTTTTATTCTTTTGACTTCTTCATTCTTATATCTCCCAGCCCCCTTCACCCATTTTGCCCATCTTCCCCACTCCCTCTTCTCTCTGACATCCATCAGTTCATTCTCCGCATTTATAGGTCTGATTCTGTGTTTTCTCTGTTTCTTCATTTGTTTTGTTTTTTAGATTCTACAGGTGAGTGACATCCTGTGGTGTTTGTCTTTCTCAGGCTGACTTATTTAAAAAAAAATTTTTTTTAATTTATTTATTTGAGAGAGAGAGAGAGAGAGAGAGAGAGAAACAGCATGAGAGGGGATAGGGTCGGAGGGAGAAGCAGGCTCCCTGCCGAGCCGGGAGCCCGATGCGGGACTCGATCCCAGGACTTCGGGATCATGACCTGAGCCAAAGGCAGTCGCTTAACCAACTGAGCCACCCAGGCGCCCCAGGCTGACTTATTTTACTTGGCATGATACCTTCCAGGTCCATCCATGTTGTTGCAAAGGGCAAGATTTCATTCTTTTTTATGGCTGAATAATATTCCAGTGTGTATGTGTGTGTGTGTGTGTGTGTGTATCTTTATTCATCTGTTGATGGACACTTGGGCTGCTTCCATATTTTGGCTATTGTAAATAATACTGCAATAAACAAAGAAGTGCAGATCTTTTCAAATTAGTGTTTTTGTTTTCTTTGGGTAAATACCCAGGAGTGGAATTATTGGATAATATGGTAAATCTCTTTTTAATTCCTTGAGGAACCTCTATACTATATACCACAGCAGCTGACTCTTCTTTTCCAGTCCTTTTTATATTGGAGATCATAGTAAAATGAGCTTTATAAAGATCTAAAGAGGGAGAAATTCACAAAATAGCCACCTGGTTTGGGTGTGGCTCTGTCTTTGGGAACAGTGCTGTTATTGGCTCATTGGTTTGACCGTGAGTGCTGGTTGCTGCAAGGCTCAGGCTCGGCGCTACTTCTAGCTCTCTAGCTTGGCCTCTGCTGTGAGGTATGTGGTACAGATGAGGAAACTGAGCTACCACCTGCAAGTCACTCGCTTGTGCTTTGATTCACAACTAGAACCTGGGTCTTCTGGTTTCGAACTAAATGCAGCATTCTTCTGCTGAGTAAGTTGTATGTATATTCAAGACTTTCCCAATGCAGACATCTCACTGACAACCATCTTATGGGGAAGGTAAATTCTGGGGAGAGAAATCTTGCCAAGTCTGGTAAAAGAGTATCTTTTAAAAAAGTATGTCAACTCTCTCAGAATTAGTTTCCTCAGATTGGTTATTTTCTGAATAGATGCATAGAAATGTAAGAATGTGAGAAAAAGAGAAATTCGAAAATAATCCTTTAAGGATTGGTATTAAATATATTGTTCTTGTTTTACCTCATATTCCTAATTTTTAACAACGTCAGACATGTAGTTCGATCTAGACTTTCCTTTCCGTATTCTTTCACTCCAAATTCCTTGGTCTTAAGCTCCTTCTATAATATGTAACTTGCCATTTTTTGTATAGTGGTTAGAAACATTGTTTCTAGAGCCCGACTGGTCTGGTTTGAATCCTGTCTCCACCATGTAAAACTGTGTAATGTTAGGCAAGTTGCCTAACTTCTCTGGGCCTCTTTCCTCAGCTCCCCAATGTGGACACTAATAGTACTTACCTTATGAGATTCTTTTTTTTTTTTTTTTAAGATTTTATTTATTTATTTGAGAGAGAGAATGAGAGAGAGAGCATGAGAGGGGTGAGGGTCAGAGGGAGAAGCAGACTCCCTGCTGAGAAGGAGCCCGATGCGGGACTCGATCCTGGGACTCCAGGATCATGACCTGAGCCGAAGGCAGTCGCTCAACCAACTGAGCCACCCAGGCGCCCTACCTTATGAGATTCTTATGAGGATTAAACTAGTCATTTCATGTTAAAAGTTCAGAACGGTACCTGGCAGGAGGGAAGAACTCAGTATGCTCACCGCTTTTTCTCCTCCTTCTCCCCATGCTATCGCTGGCCCTGCTAATACTGTTCTGTTAATGTTCTCTATATATTATTCATTACTGCTTTTATAATCAGCCTACCATTATAACTCTTCAAGTAATATACAGAGTATTTTATATTTTCAGAACACCTTTATATATATTGTTTCATCTCTTCCTCTTAACAACCAATATAAATTAAGCTGAATCATTTTTAAGAAATTCCAGGAAGTGACTTATCCAGAAAGAGAATTCATTAGAACTCAAAGCCAGACCCTAGTTTTCCGACCCTGAAGTCCATGCATTTTTATTAATTTATGTTTTTCTTAATTTTTATCAGGTAATATTTTATATGTAAAGAATATTACATGTTACCAAAAACATTATAACAAACGATAACAAAATGAAGATATGTAAGCCTAATGCCCAATTAAAGCAACTGAAGACTAAGTTATTGTCGGTTTTGTTACAACTATCTTTGTGATCCTGTTTGGTCCATCTCCTGCTTTCCCCCCACCCCTGAGAAAACCATCATCCTGAGTTTTATACTTCTCTTTCCTTTCCCATTTTTTATATTTTAAAAGATTTTTATTTATTTTGAAAGAGAATGTGTGAGCACGCAAGCGGGAGAAGGGGAAGAGGGCGAGGGAGAGAGAGAATCTCAAGCAGACTCCACACCGAGCATGGAGCCCAACTTGGGGCTCGATCTCATGACCTTGAGATCATGACCTGAGCCTAAATCAAGAGTCAGACCCTTAACCAACTGAACCACCCAGGCATACCTCCCTTCCTATTTTTTTATCTTTATTGAGGTACAATTTCCATGCAATGTAATATACCCATTTTAAGTATGTAATTTGAGGAGTTTCGACATCTGTATACACTCATGTAACTACTATCCCAATCAAGATGTAGCAGCACATCTTCACCATGCCAAAATCTTCCTCCCAAGTCTCTTTATAATCAGTCCCTCCTACCTCCAGGCCCAAGCAACCTAGTGCTTCCTGTTACTATTGACGAGTTTTCTCTGCTTTGGAATTTAACATAAATAGAATTTCTCAGTGTACTGTTTTTCAGAGTCACCCATATTGTTATATGTATGATTAGTTCATTTCTTTTCATTGCTGAGGGGTATTCCACTCTTTGTACCACAATTTGTTTATCCATTCACCTGTTGATAGACATTTGGGTTGTGTTCAGGTTGGGGATATCATGAATAAAACTTCTAATTTAAAAAAAAACATTTTTTTGGGAGCCTGGGTGGCTCAGTTGTTTAAGCGACTGCCTTCGGCTCAGGTCATGATCCTGAAGTCCCGGGATCGAGTCCCGCATCGGGCTCCCTGCTCAGCGGGGAGTCTGCCTCTCCCTCTGACTCTCCCCCTCTCATGCTCTCTCTCTATCACTATCTCCCTCAAAAAATAAATAAAAATCTTAAAAAAAAACCCACCATTTTTTTTTAAAGATTTTGTTTATTTATTTGCGAGAGAGAGAGAGAGCATGGGGAGGAGGGTCAGAGGGAGAAGCAGACTCCCTGCTGAGCAGGGAGCCCGACGCGGGACTCGATCCAGGGACTCCCGGATCATGACCTGAGCCGAAGGCAGTCGCTTAACCAACTGAGCCACCCAGGAGCCCTTAATTTAAAAAAATTTTTTTAAAGATTTTATTTATTGGGGCGCCTGGGTGGCTCAGTTGGTTAAGCGACTGCCTTCGGCTCAGGTCATGATCCGGGAGTCCCTGGATCGAGTCCCGCGTCGGGCTCCCTGCTCAGCAGGGAGTCTGCTTCTCCCTCTGACCCTCCCCCCTCTCATGTAC